CACTGTGGAGTCGTGGACACCCACTTTTTTTCAAAATGGAAAGAGTTAATGAAAATAAAATACATTTTAATTCAAATACTTTCATGTGAACAAATGCTCCGACAAATGGCTGTACAAAACTTTAACCAAATTGCCATCATAATCACTAAGAACACTGTCATTAAAATGTTGAATCTGTCAAAATTTATGTCTACAATATTAAAAATTGTTTATAATTTAATTTAATTTTTATAGCCAAACACATTTCAAGAGACAAGGCAATCAAATTTAGTTTGTCCAGTTGAGAAAAACGTTCAATGAGACTTGTCCTTATGGTCGTATTCTTACCAAATTCTGGTACTTATTATTTTTTAAGAAAACGACAAAACTTTACTTGAAAATTTTGATCTCTGTTGTGTGATACCAAACCTTTAACCCATTTCTGTAATTCAATTGGCTTATCTCATAAAATGTTGCAAATTATTTATGTAATCATTTATGTTTAATTATGCTAAATCATTCGTAATCATTCTGCTTGTCTTCTGCGGGCTCCACCACTTCCTGTTAGTCCCACTTCTTCATTGAAATAAACCGTTCATGAATCTCATCTGGACTCTATAAGCACATTTAATACCATGTTACCCTATATTTGGGGATCATAGGCTTGCAAGACAGGGGGGAATTGCCCCCCCCCCCAAAAAAAAAAAATTGGACAAACTTTCAATTCTCCCCAGGAAAACATCAGGCCCGAGTGCCTATGTTGGAGACTGCAGTTACCCTTTTTTTCTCCTGTAATAACACTGCGCAAGTATGAGATGGCTTTACTCGACTTTAGAGAGAACAGGGGCTGGCCGTTCAAAGTACAATTAGCCCTAATTCTGGATCAACATTTATTCCGCTGTTTCGGGTTTGTGCATTTCTATAGGTTGGCTTGTTTTATATCTTTAGAAAATAAAACTTTCATCGATCCAGACAAAATTTGTTGAACAACCAGACCCAGTTTAGAACTGATATAGAGCTGTCCAAAATAGATAATCAAAACCTCGTACCCAGGGCCTTTGCGCAGTTCAGAAGCTCTGATATGGGAAAGGGAACGAGGTTGGTCAAAATCCCTCTACTTACCTCCGCATCTCCTTCCGATACTACCTCCCGTTGTGGGCTGGACACGATTGTTAAAGATTTTCCATATGCGTACATGTATTTATTCAAATACAATTTAAATGCTGGGTAACCTTTGTTTCATTCTATGCTTAAATATCATACGAGTGGTATTCTCGGGTTTCATGATCCTACATACTTAATCAAATTATGTTAAAATATTACGTGATTGAATATAATATATATAATTGTCTATAATAGGCTTTCATAAAGGATACAATTGATCAGCATCCCTGGCCTAAATAAGTTAGCAAGCAAAGCATTTTGTTGAATTGGCTAATAGATTAAGGTCTTGTCAATGGATTTGATCTCGTGATCATAGACTAAGGGTCAATGTTGTTTTAGAAAAGAAATTAGAAGAGAAATTTAAGCGAGTTTTCCTTCCAATTATTTTGTTATTGGCAATTCTTTGCTATTCCATTATTATGAAAGAATAAGATTTACCTGCCGTTGTTTTAGGTCTGCACGGCACAGGCCTGCCCCACCTTTTGGTCCTCAAGACTATATAAGAGAAATCGACAATTAGTTTTCAATTTGAAGCTATAACAGCCTCGCAAGAGTTGCTTACCTCATAATATTTGATAACTAGTTTACCTAAAATGTAGTAAATGCAG